CTGCAGTCTCACGCTCTATCCACTGAGCCAAACCAACTAGGGCAGTTATCTTTCTTTTTAAAGGCATTGCAGCTGAAGGTATTTTTAGAGACCTACAGATTTTGAATGTCAACATTTAAATATCTAAAAAGATTTGAAAATGGGTGACACAATCTTCGGTGAAGGGAGTTCTCCATACTGCTTCACCACAGTCAGTGTCTTTATCGTAGTATCTCTTTTCTTCAAATTTATTCTTCATATGCTTAAAAAATTATCATCATTTGATGCTTTTGATATGTTCCTCCATCCCTCCTGTCTTTCCAAAGGTGGAATCTAGTTAAATATTAGTCCTTCCCTATTCTAGTTAATGGAGAGACCCACACTTCTAATTCGTTGGAGCTTTTCCTACCATGTTGTGAAGGAAGAGTGGGCAAGTCTCATTGTGTTGGTGGAATTGAAGGACAGATGAGGCTAATCTTTTTTATTCCTTTTTTAAATTAAGGTATTACATGTGTATGTATCTTCCCATTCAGATGAGGCTAATCCTTATGAGATAAGTTGTCTGCTTTTTTCCTCAGTGAGGAGCAGTCCTTCTAGATATTGCCACAGGCAAAGATGGAGTAATCTCTTCTTTTAGATCATATGCTAACATAATGCTGATAAGTAAGTGTGGAAAAATGAAAGGGAAATACATTAATTGTATTCTCTTAATAAGGTATGCTATCCAAGATAATTATTTCATGACCGTTTTAGTTATAGTACTTGTTTTATTATGAAATAAGAGATGGGTTTAGGAGCCTTTTATTGGAAAGACAATTGTATCAAATTAGTACCAAATTAGATTTTTGTCTTTATAAAGGTGAGCAAACCCATGAGCAGTTTTTAAATTGATGTGTTCTACGTTTCAAATGAGCAAATTCTGTTTGAGGGTTAAAGAAGCTATTATTTTGTCCTTTATGCTGACAGCTTCATTACAGATTGGCCTACTATTGGCATTAAAAAAATGTTTGGCTCCTTATGATCTTTGTGCATGCAACTATAATATTAATGCAGCACCACAGCACTGTTCATTAAGGAATGACTTTAAATGAGGTTGAAGCGTGTACATTTGGAAAGATACAGATGTTAAATGCAGTCATTTCTCTTTGTATACAGCCGTATGGCTAATAATTTCCAAGTGGCTAAAGCTCTTGTTAGCAAGAGTGCTGGTGTGTTAAGAATGGCTCTATAAATAACTTTAAGAACTGAAGTTGAAGGTGCTTCTTTTAAAGACTATTGTTAACTAAACATTATTGCCAAACAGATGGAAAGCATTCACTGGCCTGATGTTTTTAGGTCTAATTATATTATCACCAGCCCTGTACGGCTCAGTTGAAGAGGTGTATCCAGAGGCCAATTTATAATCATTTAGCCAACACCTGTTTGGGAGAAACTGACAGTCAAAGGGCACATTTTAAAAAAACCACATATGTTCTTGTGTTTATGGCCTCAGTGTGAACGTTGTCTAGCTACAGACAAACTTGGTAGGAGAAGAAAGAAAATGTAAACAAAGCAGCACTTCCCAGGCATGTTTATCGGTCTTCATTTGGCCTCTTCATCTGATCCACTTCATGCTCCATGGCTAAGTGAGATGGCAAAGAGCTATCACGTCTGATTTATGCGCATAGAGGCAGATTAGTCAATTCGGAAGCTTCGGGTAGAAGAAAGAAGTTCTTTGTACAGCTTCCATACCTTTTACCCAGTGAAACATTTATTTCATAGAGATGTGTCTTGTTTAAATAGAACTGGCATTCTGGTGAGTGGCTTAAAGGAGTCACAACTTGATATAAAAACAAATGAGATCTGGGAAACCCTACATGTCTTCACAGACTGGGTGTTCATTGAGTCCATTCTGCAGAGAGAGGGCAGGACCCTGTGCCTCCTTTTTGCTCTCATGATATGTTACTTCAACTGTCAAGGTTCATGTTCTTTGAATGTGTTTCCATGTGGTGGAAGATTGGTGCAGAAGGTAGCTCAAAGGGAGATTATGGGGAGAATAGGTCTATCCTCTGAAAATAGTTTCAACCTGATGATCTTACCAACGCTTTCATTTTAGTGTTTTTCCTTTTGATATATTTTTGTATTAAAAGATTTATATATGTCACCTCCATTTTCTTATCAACCATTATCAACTCAGAGGAGTCTGGCTCCTCTCTCCACCAATTCATTGCATAATGCAATATTTATAAACAAGTTATCAGTGGCTTTCTATTGCCCTAGGCAGTAATTCCTTCTCCTTTCTCAGTCTTTGTGGCTTCTAGGTGCTTACACTAATTTACAGCATTTTCTCTCCTTGACATGATTTTATTTTTTTTTGAACCTCTACATTTTCTGGTTTTCTTTGTACTTTTCTCACTACAATTTTGGTGGTTCTTGCCTATATATTCTCAATATAACAACTATGTATAGTATCCAGAATTTAGACACAACTAGTATAGCTTAGCAATTAAAAAGGAAGAACCCTGTGGCCCCACTGCTAGGGTTTAAATTTCACCTTTACCATTGCTTAAATTCTCGAGCATGAGCAAGTTAACAGCTTTATGTTTGGTTCCTCATCTGTAACATTGGTTAAAGTGTATCTATCTCATTGAAATAACTCACTGTTGAGTGCATTACATGATTTGATTCCTTAAAACCAAGAATAGTGCCTAGGATAAAGCAATCATTTTAGTGGGGCATGTTCTCCTGCCTTTAGCTACTGTCTTTATGGAGAATGCTCAAATATAAACCTTCAGTTTCAATTTATTTTCTAAGCTCCATTCCCATATGGCTATCTACCTTCCATACTTTTATACCTGAATTCATTCACTTTGAACATTTATTATGGGAGACTCATGGATTGGAGGAGACATCATTTCTGCCCCATACAGTACTCTGTGGCTGCCATAACAAAGTATTACAAACTTTGCAGTTTAAAACAACTGAATTTATTGTCACATGGGATAGATGTCTGACATAGGTCATGTGGGCTGTGTTCCTTACTGGAAACTCTGGGGGAAAACGATCATTCTGCTTTCAACATGCTCATACAAACCTTAAATTGGGAGAGAGAAAAGGTAGCATAAAACGAAACCGAAGGATTAGAAATGCTATATAGAAGTTGGTATCATATACACAAGAAGGTGAGAACAAAGGAATAAAAGACTGTTATTGAGAGATAGACATTTGGAAAGATGAACACCTGTTTGGTAAGTGGATGGGGGAACATTTAAGGGAGAAGAAGCAATAATAGTGATAGCAATAACAATAATAACAACTGGCTGTACCAGTACTTTTACAGGATTATCTCTCACTAAAATTTTCACATGATAGACACCATTATAACCTAGCATTATAGCTCCTACAGATGAAGCTGTAATGCCTTCACAGTTAGAATAGAAATGGTGAAATTATCACATTGGATTGTTGAAAGAATTAACATTGATCACACATGTTAAAGCACAGCACATAGTAAACACTTAAAGCCTGGTAGGTGAAGGACAGTAGAGGGTGGATAAGGAAATAGGAAGTGGAATTGACTAGCTTGGTCACTGGTTATGAAGGTAGGGGGCAGGAGATTTATAGTGACTTAGGGAACTTTTTGGTTGGGGGGTTCAGTGGATGGTGGTATTATTCAGTTTTGTAGGAGGAGAAACAGGGTTTTGTTTTGTTTTTAGTGGGGCCAGGGCTTTGAGGAGAGAAAGAGGTGAGCCCAGGAGGTATCTGTGGGAATATTCAATTGAAATTAAATTGAGACCTACATAAGTATATCAAGCACTCAGAAGGGAGGTCAAAAATGATGTCACTATTACTTCAAATTCATCATGTTGAAAATGGAATATACCATCTTCTCAAATTGCTATCTCATCTTAACTCACCACTTTTTCTTCTGACTACCTATTTTTTTTTCATCCTTGACTCCCAGTGCTCTGGAGTTGGGGAGGGAAATCCCAGTTTACAGAGCTTGCTGATTCTGTGTTGTAAATACTGTCACTGCGCATTTCAAATGGTAGCTACTTTGGTGCTACAATGGTGGGATTGAATTGCTGCAGCAGAGACCTCCCTCACGGTCCCGCAAAGCCTAAAATATTTACTATTTGTCCCTTTGTAGAGAAAGTTTGCCAACTTCTGGTTATTTATTATAAAATATTAAAATGGTAAGATAATTTTGTATCCCTCTTTGCTCCTTCTATCCATCAAGAGGGTGGGGAGTGGGGAGTTTGAGTGGCAGTGTGTGAGATCATGAGGGGTCTTGAGATCATCTTTTGGACTTAGGTTTTTTATCTGAATGAGAAGAGTGATATGATCTACTTCGTTTTAAAAAGAAAATCCTGCCTGCTATTTAGAGAACAGACCAAGGGTAGCAAAGATGGAAGCAGAGAGATCTGCTGGGAGGCAGTTGTTTTAATCTAAGAGCCTCTTTGTTTGGACCAGGGAAATAGCCAGGAAGTGGTGAGGTACGTTCAGTTCTAGATACATTTTGAAGATAAGGCTAACAGAATTTGTTGATGGAAAAAGAGGAGTTAGGATGAGTCCAGAATGAAGAAGTGGGACCATAAGGATGCCTCAGACTGGAGCTTGAGTTATTGCAATCACATTATAATAGAAAGTGGCCAGGTAAGGGGCTTTAGAGAGAAAATCGAGATTTCGGTAATTATTGTAAAAAAAATTGTTCTTAATTGTAATGATTCATGAGAAAAAAATTCTAAAATAATTTTTCATTCACTTTGAAGAAATGTATTTTAAAATAAATCTAGGAAACATAGTAATGTTTCTAAAATATGGCATTTTTAATAAAGAAAACAATAAAAAAACCTTCTTTAGGTAAGATAACTTTAATCCTGTGATTTGGTGCCTTTAAAAAAACCTATTCAGAAATTAATAATTTTTGTGGAGTCAATTTAGCACTTTCCCCCCAAACCCTTAGAGTGTAGTTTTAAAAAGCTACGAGTTAATGTTGCATTGTAATTATGAATAAATTCTCACTCATATTTTTTATGTAGGTTTTACTTGTAATGGACACAAGGACAGAACAGACATTCGTTTTAAAGGTAAGTAGACTTTGTATGTTTACTTATTTAAATATTTTAGTAATTTAAACATTTTATTTATATGTTTAATGATCTTGAAATTTATTTTCAAATTGAAAGAAAAAAAATTAATATTGTTTTCCTGGGTGTTTGAATGTTCTATTTTGAATGTTCATTTATATTTGTAGTGATCTGTATTTATTTTATCTTTTGTCCTTTCATTGCATACATTTAACAAGCATTTTAGATATTAGAGTATGGAGGAAATAATTTGGATAAGTTGGAGACTCATTTCATTTTGTTTAAATGTATAATATACAGTTTAAATTCATCTCTAATACTTCTTGTATAATTTGTGGAGATCATATACCATTTAACCTATGATTAAGTGCTGACATTTTACCTTAAAGTCTTTGTAACAAATATTTGGGAAAGTATTATCTACATCCCTGGCCTTTTTTATTTCTGTTTTAATTCTCTTTAAAACTCCATTTATAATTAAATATATAAGGAAGGAAAATCCCTTCAGTTTTTAAATTTTAAAATTGTATTTGAAATGGATTGTGACAATACACATTCTACAAATATCTCAATTTATGCATTTCCACAACATCCAGAATTAACCAGTTTCATATTAATTTTATATTTCTTTTTTTGTTGCATGGTAGTAGATTGATCACATTGACATATACTGAAACAAATTTCTTTTTATGAATATGTTTTATAACTGGCATTTCCTCAGATTTTTAAACCAAAGTATGACACCAGAAACTACACACACCTATTCCTTTGGAGAAAACTAAAATACTCTTGGTGCTTTTTTGGAATAGAATTTTAAAATTGCCTGTTTAATCTAGGAATACCTTTTGTATCTCAGGAATTTGAATTGATTCACAATGTCTACTGCTTTAAAGATATACACAAGTAAATAAAACTTAAGAAAAGGTCATAGAGAAATAACTGTATGATCCTGATGACTTAGTTTGAGAGCATCTCTAATAAAAACACTGACCCACGTAATTGATTTTAATGGCAGCTTTGTGGCATCTTCTGTTCTCTGGATTCTCGCCAGATGCCATCAGCAGAGCCTCCAGGGACTGAGGGGCATAGAGCAGCAGATGAGTGGTTTCTCTGAAGCCCAGAGTAACTCGGATAGATTAGTTTGGTTGATAAACACAGAGCACAGCAAGCTCCAAAGGCAACTGAGGGTACAACTGACCTTTTTGTTCTCTGTCAGGGTCTAAGGAAAAGCAGTGAATACAGCAGGAACAGAAAGACCATCATCCCCCGCTGTGTGCCCAACATGGTGTGTCTGCACAAGTACATCATTTCTGAGGAGTCGGTATTTCTTGTGCTGCAGCACGCAGAAGGTTGGTTTGTACTTTAAATGTTTTTGCGAAGAATGTCACCTATTTAGCTTTTGGCTTCTGGAATATCTATCCGTCATTACACGAACGGATAAAACATATGAAACACACGCAAGAAACTGTTGCCTTCTTCCTCTGCCTTCCCTTCCTACTTTGAATTGGGAGGGGAAATGAAAATCCAGATGAGCAGCAGATTTCATTGGAGCTCTATATACTATATATATGCTGATATACTTAACTCCTTGCTTTCTCCTAGACTTGATCTAATGGGATGAGAATGTGTGCTAAGAGAGCCAGGTTTAATTGTACAGATTTTATTTTGTTCTCTGCTGAAAGGATACATTAATGTTAGATGACTAAAATAAAAAGCATCCCCTGAAGAATTAATTAATTACCTCCCTTTTTAGAAGGCCCGGTATTTGCTTGACATTTGACATGACCTAGTTATTCAAATCTAGGTTTTTGTGCATACAGCCATTGGCATCACATATGGGGACAAATCAGAGAGAAGCACACTACTTTGCTTTCAAACACTGTGAAATTTCAGCTCTGAGTTGAGCAAACAGGTAGCAAAAAGACTATGTTTTGATTTGTTTTTGCCTTTTAGTGCCTGAATTAAAAAATTTTTTCTTAAAAAGAACTGAATGCAGCATATAAATATAAATCCACAGTATAAATATTGCCTTTTGCTTTTCAAAGGTGTTCTTTAAAATGTTAAATATATTAAATTTTCTGTATTTCACGAAGGTGTTATTATTATTTTTACATTACTGAGAATAGGGAACTATTGTGCTTTACTAATAGGCATAATATTTGAATTTAATGCACTTTCGCAGGAAAATGAGTCATTGCTTTGCAGAATGAGGTCTCTTATGAGAACTAATGCAAGATTTTTGATGGCACTAAACTATTAATATTGTTTATTATGAAGTACAGCACAAGATAACTACAGATGGAGGGAAGACCTCCATATGTGGTACTTAATAGGAAATTCAGAAGGGGCTCCATGGTCTCTCAGGTATTAAGAGAGTTAATTGCGTGTGTGAATTGGATAACTAATTCACCTTTGTTCAGACATTATAGACAGCTTTTATCTGAGGATACCAGTGCATTACAGACATTATTGAATTAGAGGTCATGTCATCTGATAGTGGAATACAACCACCTCTGGTGTGGAACAAAAATAACTTGTGCAGTAATAATCCATAATAATTTAGAACAAGGTCAGTAGGATGAATGTAATTATAGTCAATGTTCTATTAACCGGGGTGGATTATTCATGTTGGAGATTATCTGTGGCAAATTTTTAATCCTATTTTACCCCTGTTATTTACAACTTCCTCTTCCTATTCTTCTCTTGCTTCTTCTACTCATACTTCAGTTTTTCTTTGGCCATTTTCTCACCTTTCCTTCTACTCTAGTGCTGATATTTGAACTGAATTTATTGCAGAACTATAGAAAGTCTTTATAATCTGTCTTAAAGACATAGACATAATAGTTTTCAAATTTTCCACTGTTTTAGATTATCTTTACCAGGTCTCTTTTCCTTTGTTGTTGATCATGTCTGAATTTGAATAGTCACATGACCATAGACTTTGTCTTGGATTATGTAAACACTAAAGGCCTGGTGCACAAAACTCATGCACTGTTTGGGGAGGGGGAGTAAGTCCCCTCAGCCTGTCCAAGAGCCCTCAGGAGGCAGGAGAGGCTCCCACCACTGCAGCTGTACTCACCAGCCATGCACCTGGGTTCTAGCTGAGTGCACTGACCATCACGGGGCAACTCCTGCATTGAGTGTCTGCCCCCTAGTGGTCAGTGTGCGTCATAGTGACCGGTCATTCTGCCATTCAGTCAACTTGCATATTAGCCTTTTATTATATAGGATTGGGGGTAGGGATCTCTTTTTACTGTGTTTCTTAGGAATCTATTGTTTACTTTTAAGAAGATTTTTATAATGCAAAAATACTAAATTATAGTACAAACGGGGACTCTGGATTCATTTAACATTCAACAAATTTATTGAATATATCTAGGTGAACAAGACAAGAAAAGAGCCTGCCCCTTTGAAACTTACATTCTTGTTGTGAAGAGTCAAACAGAGAAACTAAAAGCATGAGAATATTAGATAATAATAAGGACTATACTTATCTTTTACTTTTTATTTATTGATTTCAGAGAGGAAGGGAATGGGAGAGAGTATAGAAACATCACTGACCGATTGCCTCCTGCACAACCACCACTGGGGATTGAGCCCACACCTGAGGCATATATCCTGACCAGGCATCAAACTGTGACCTCCTGGTTCATAGGTCAAATAAATGACTGAGCCATACCAGCTGGGCAGTTCTATAGTAATCTTTAACAGAGAGAGATCCAGTAGATAAGGACTGGGGGACTATTTTAGATTAGGTAGTCAGGGAAGTCCAAGTGACATTTAAGAATTCTGAACGACAAAAGAAGTAACCATTTGGACATAAGGGGGCAGCACATTCCAGGTACAGCATCAGTGAAATAAATTGAAGGCAAAAACAAACTTGAAATGTTTGAGGAAAAGAAAGGAGATCATTTGTTTATAGTGTAGTGGGTGAGGGTAATAGAATATGAGGCAATGGAGAAGTAGCCAGGAGACTTCTATGACAGAGTAAGGATGTTGGCTTTTATTCAAGTGCATTGGGGAATATTGGACATCTGAAGCAGTGATCAGAACATATTTACATTAAGAAAAAAATCACTCTGGCTGTTGTTTGGGGAAGGGATTGTAGAAAGAGAAGACAAGAAGCAATGAAAAGGCTAATAAAGTAGTCTCAGGCAAGAAATTATGATGGCAGGACCTTCTAGGCTTCTAGCAGAGATACTTTGAGTCCATGGTACCTGTAATGAAATAAATTTTGGGAGAGAAGAATTTGGGGTAATTTCTTAGATTTGGCTTGAGCAATCAAGTGAACTAGATGATGGACAATGTGCTATCTTTTACACATTAGTGATACTTTCTTTGTTATCTCTGTGAATTAGGAAGTTGTGCATATAGCATACAAATGTCACTTTCATATGCTGGATAAACTGTTACTGAAAAAGTAAACGAGCAGTTTTTTTTCATAATGTGAATATTTATGATTTGTGGCATTCGTTTTCCTCTGCTTACATAATTCACATGAGTCTCTTGGACTCATTTTCTTTCTTTCAGTCAGAAATGTATTGCATGCTTACTGGGATACAGTCTTAGTTCTAAAATACCATATTTTCTGGCGTATAAGACGACTTTTGAAACGAAAAAAAGTCAACCGAAAATCGGGGGCAAAAGACCAAAATTGCACAAAAATTACCTGCAGGTCTTGACGGCAAAGTAAGTCTTTTCTTTGAAGTGGGGTGTAGTCTTATACAGCGAATATACGCCTAAACCTATGTTTTAACTGTAAAATTAAGGGGTTGTCTTATACGCCGGAAAATACGGTAGACAAAGACTGCTCACATGGAACTTACATTATAGAAGCCGGACAGACAATAAATAAATACTTAAGTAAATATATGTCAGATGGAGATAAATAAAGGAAGGGATGCCAAAAGGGTGAGGTAGGGATTGCTATTTTATATAGAGTGGTCCTCTTAGTAAGAAGGGACATTTGGCCAGTAACTTGAAGGAAGTGAGAGAGGGAGCAGTGTGGATACAGGAGGGAACAATATCCTGGTAAGAGAGAATAGTACGTAGGCTTGGAGGCAAGAGTGTGTACTTGGTGTACAAGAAGCAGGAGTGTCAGTGTGGTGGAAGCAGAATGGGAAGAGTGGCAGGAAATGAGCCTAGCAAGATGGGGAGGCAGGTGGGCAGATCCTGCGTGGTCTTGTAGGCCACTTTAAGAACTTGATTTTTATTGTGGCAAGATGAGGACCACTGTGGCTGCTTTGTAGAAAATAGAAGATAGAAAGATAAAGGCAAAAGCAGAATAGTTTGGAAGTTGTTGCAGCAATCCAGGTGAAAATGATCGAGGCTTGGACAAAGTATTAATGGTGGAGGTGGTGATAAATAGTTATTAGATTTCGAATGTATTTTGAGGAGAGAACTGACATGATTCTACCTTGCATGACTCCAGGGTTTTGGCTCAAAGAGCTGAAAGAATAGAGTTTCCATTTACTGAGATGGGAAAGCTGAGGGAGAGGCAGATGTAGAGGGAACAATCAGAGATTTAGTTTGGACATGTGAATGTGAAATGTTTATTAAATCTAGATGGTATATATGGAGTAGGCAATTGGATATACCAGTTGAGATTTTAGGAGAGAGGTTTAAAATGCTTGTTTTTGTTAATGAATCTCTTACTTTGACTCTAAGGAAGAAAAAGTGGGAAAATAATTGCATTCAGTAAAGGCCATGAGTGTTGTTGAAACCTTTTAAGTTCCTAAGATTATGGATTAAATCATATTCATAATACATATTCCAGCATTTAGCAGAATGCTTAGTATATGGAAGGTGCTCAGTGTATAATTGTTGAATACTGAGTTGGAGGAAAAATAAATGACTAGGTTAGAAGAAAATGTTTGGAAAAGACTTTGAATGTGCACCAAATGGATGTGAGATGGAAAGTAATTTCTACCAAGTTATTTGGAGATCCAAGGAGTGAAATTATTATCTTTTCATGAACTAGTTATAAAAATTTATAAAACTATGTAAAGAAATTAATTTGAACTATGTAGAAGTATACAAAATAGAATTAAAACGCTCTCTTCCTATTCACTTTAATGCCCAGCTTCATTCTTTAGAAATAGCGGGAAATTTCCTGTGTATATAAACATATACTCCCTACCTGTCTGCTTAAAAAACAGCACATAAATGAATCTTAAATATTGTTTTATAGCTCTTCCCCTCCCCCCATCTTAACAATGTATCTTGGACACTTTTCCTTTTCAGTGTATATAGGTTTGCAGTATAGTGTAATGCTTAAAAACAAGGATTCTGGAGCCGGTTCACCATTTACTAGTTGTATGACTTTGGACAAGTTACTTAACTTTTTTTGTGCCTAGTATGTTTCCTTGTCTATAAAATAGGGGTGATAATAATTACCTACCTCATAGGACTGATGTGAGGAAAAATAGTTGATATGTGTAAGTACTTAGAACAGGGCCTAGTACATAGTAAACACTATGTGAATATTTGAAAGCATTGCTCTAATTTTTTTGAATAGATACAAAATATTTGGTAGTATAGATTTATCATAATTTATTTAATTACCCCCTGTTAATTGGTATTTAAATTGTTTCTAGTGCTTTTACTGATATATTTTTGTTTTTTGAGAACTAATTTTAAGAGAAATTTCTTGCAGTAGAATTGCTGGGTCAAAAGATGATTTTGATCATTGGTCCAGCAATATGTTATCATACATATTAATTTAAAGTTGCAATTTTAGTCAAACAAATTTAAATTTAATAATTTTTTTTGCAATCTCGCAAAAACACACACACACACACAAACAACCCAAAACAAAAACAAAAAAACAAAAAACCCCCCACACATGCACAAAACCCCACAACCCCAATAGATTAAAATCTGATGAGATACCAAGAGAGAGTTTTAATTAAACCTTATGAAATACTATTTTCATAGCTTAACATAGCTAATATCTACTATTTTATATGCTTTAGTGGGACTTAGAAAGGTGTCAATTAGATTTTTAAAGTGTTAAAAATCATAAGTATGTTTGGTATTTCTATTTCTATTTTGTGGTTTAGCCAATAATAGGATTTTTTAAGGTTAATATTTTTTAATGTTACAACAGTAAGATTGACTTTGTGTATGTTTGTTGGGTCTGATCTTATCTCTATAGAAAATAAAGCCCAAACAGTTTTTGTGGGTGAGAAACTTCAGTAGGAATAATGTATTCTTGTAAATTATGTGATTTTTATGATTTCATAATTTAAAAAAAGTATGTGATAGAACCAACATGTTTGTTTCTATAGCTCCATATTGAGCACTAAATTTAAGTGGGCACCTAGAAAAGGATGAAGAAGAGCTAAAACAGTTTATATCTTGCTTGAACATGCAGAATTTTTATAATTTAATTTGAATGCTTGTTTAGTTTAAGAACAAATTCCATAAGTGCCAGCAAATACATTTAGAAATTTTACCTAAGAATGAAATAATGGAAATTAAATAAGATGCTCTATTTGGTAAACGTGCAAATATCCAATAAAGCAAATTGCTATGAAGATGGCACCAATGCACATTGCTTGTAGGAGCAGATCCTGAGGATAAATAACAGCACATATCAGAAGCATTAAAAGTATTGATCTAGTACTGTCATTTCCGGGATTCTGTTTTGATGAAATAATCAGAGATGCCAAGTATTTGTATGTAAAAGTATATATTATTTTAATTCAAATAGCAAAAGCTGGAATAAATAAGTGTTCATTAATAGAGGAGCATTTAAATACATCATGAGACCTGTCACATATGCTATATAGCCTTCAGGTTCATATTCTCATGGAAATTAGAAATTGTTTATGAAATGATGCTAGTCATGAATAAAATGACTGAAAATAAATGTACTAATAGTTAATAGTGATTATGCATAATTTATATATTCTGAATTTTTTGTTTTCCTGTTATTTATTTAAAATTTTTAAACACTAGAACCATATATTTGTTTTAAAATAGGAAGATTACATGATAAAAAATAATGATATTTTGGACCTTTTTCCTTGAGAGGGTTTCAAAAATTTGTAAAAGACACTATCTTTTTATAACCCACTCTAATACCTATTATTTTATATGCTAGTCGGAATTCTCTCCCTGCAGTTATAAAGGCCCTGGAGTCTGGTAAAGAAGATAAAAAAAACATTAAAGTATTATTAGTATGAAATAGAATATTGTCTAGAGCAGTGTTTCCCAAACTTTTGACACATGTGTACCACTTCTATAATTTTCGTAATGCTGAGTACCCCTCGTACTCATGAGAATGTAGAATTAGGCACAGCTAAGCAATGTGCAGTGCATATCCCCACCAAACTCCAGTGCAACGCGTACCCCCACCAAACTCTTGCCATACCCCTGGGAATGCTCGTACCACACTTTGGGAAACACTGGTCTAGAGATTATAGGAGTTGTGTCCAGTAAGGAGATATAAAAAAGAATGGTAAAATAAAACAAATTCTGAAGGACCTTCAAGAATAAGTGGGATTTTGACAAGCAGATATTGGGGAAACTAATAGGAAAGAAACTTCTAAGTGGTAGGTATAGTTTGAAAGAAAGCCCAGCATGGTTATATGTGGAGCAATCTGGTTCAGATGAATTTTGCAGTGAGAACTTAAGGGTTGATACTGTATTACTGAGAGTTTCAACTACCTTTATAAAGTTGGTATATCATTCAGTAGGTAGAGGGGATTTAGGTTCTTGAATGGAAAATGACATAATAAGATCTGTGCTATAATAAATTAGAAGCAATTATGGTAGCAATTAAGTTGTAGCTATAACTTTATTCCAAGTAAAGGAGTGGTCAAAGGAATTAAAAGAAGAGGAAGACTGTGAAAAACATTATGGATAGATCTTATAGGATTTGGAAAATTGTAGAGAGAAAAAGGAAAAGAAAAGTATCCAAGTTTGGTCTAAAGCTTCTCTGACAGAATGGCTCAGAAGTCAGAAAGAGGAAGAATTTTGAGGCCAAAAATAAAGAATTTAAGCACCTTGAATTTTAGATTTCAGCAGCTCATCCAGGTGGAATTGGCCTAAGAATGAATGAAATTTTTCCTGGAACTTGAGTACATGCTGTTTCCTGCTGATCCCTGGAGCTTCATGCTGAAGATCCTGTCTGGTTTGTGATGGCATGTCTCCTGATGAGTTACCATCTGAGTTAATAAGCATTGACTAAGTGTCTGTCATGTCCTGCGCACTGTATAGGAAGAACATATGCAAAAACGAAAAAGACATGGTTCCATCCTTACAGTAGTCACCATCTAGGAGAATTGAAAATAGCACATTTTTTATATTGCACATAGGAATCCCAGCTGCAGGTTTAGGCATTATTGTTAGTGTACCACAGTAGAGCTATTTGTGACAAGAAGGGTGTCATTACTGTTGTCAAAAGACTAAGATGGAGCCAATGCATAGCTCCTTGTATGAGTGAGTGAGTTTCAAAGCCATATATGAATGTTTAAAATTAAGTTTTAATATGGGGACATAAGAAAAACTAAGTATAATCTAGTGAGAACAGAAAGTTAGCTAAGAAAAAATGAGGAGGTAATGTTTAAACTTCACAATGTACTATGTACTACTATTATCAAAATAGTAGTATATAGTGAATTATACAGTTTTAAGAAGACTGTTAACTATGTCACTGATAGAGGAAATGCGTGAGTATTTAAGGATTAATACTATGATGGATACCCTTTATTGAGTAGTTACTCTATGTGAGGCATATCATGAGCCTTTTATGTATTTATCAAATTCCTCTAAATGAAATGAGAAGTAGAAAAAGTGTTTCTTGGATGCTTTCATTCTAGTACTTTTTACACATGTAATTGACTGTCAATGATTATTACCCTTAAGATTTACTTACCCTTGGTAAATGATAATATGGTAATGCTTAATAACAGCATTAAAAAAGTGTTGAAAAAATTGCTTTCACCATATTAATAAAGAGTTTCATTTTTAACACCTGATTTCTCACTTTTAGAAGCCATAGTTATATCTTCACAAAGTATGCTTCTGCAATTACTGTTTTTAAGATTTCGGGATCAAATTTAATTTTGTAATACTGTTTCTAGTCAGTAGAGCTTTGGTAGGTTTGGATGCTTATAGTTTATTTAATCAATGATTCTAATTAGCAAAAGATATTTAGTTTTTAATGATAAAAACAAAACAATTGAAAAAATAAGGTGAAATAGCTACCTAACAAGTACTGTTAGGAAAACATTGGATTATTTTATTTCTGTGATTTTTGTGAAGTTGGTTTTTATGTTTTTGGCTTTTATATAGGTTTCTAATATATATATCAGAATACATAATTAGAATTACAATAGCTTGCCTCATTAATGGCTGCCAATTAATATTCAGCTGCATTACTAAGTCTCATACTACACATGATGTGTATAAGGAGGGGAGAAAATGGGAAAATATTAATATGTCATTTATAATGGCATAATTATATACCAGATACCAAATCTCTCCTCTAATCTTGGACTGGGCATTTTCTAAATGCAATGATATTATTGACTTTTTTTTTTTTTGACCAGTGAATTATACAGTTTTAAGCGTCACTTATTTATAAATTTCCACTTGACCAAGGGGCCATGCTTGAAAAAATTATTACATAAACAAATCAGAACTCAATCAGCTATTTTTAAAGTTAAATTATATTTAACTTTAAAGCAGAAAGTCAGCTGTGAGATTTCATATTAGTATTTGTTATAACTAATTTCCCTTTAAAGGAAGAAATAGTTTGTCATTTCAGAAATAATTGATATTAGGGGATATGCTAACACTGTATATTCACCAGTCAGCAATAACAAAAGACATTTTATTAAAATGCTTGTCTTCCAGCATACTGGATATATTAATGGGTGGGTATCATTGACTGGCTCATAGTTGATTATTTGAATACCTTTTGCTTTTCTAGTGACTTCAATAAGTATCTGTTAATTTAGGGATCTTAAAAGTTTTTTTGTTGTACTTGTTCACAGGTGGCAAACTGTGGTCATACATCAGTAAATTTCTCAACAGAAGTCCTGAAGAAAGCTTTGACATCGAGGAAGTGAAAAAACCTGCACTTAGGAAAGTTCACCTGCAACAGCCTACTTCCAGTCTTCAGGACAGCAGCAGCTTTGAATCCAGAGGAAGCGATGCTGGACCCACGCTTCCAGTTCTGCCTCTGAAAAGCAGTCTTACCCTGAGCTCTCAAGATGATAGCAACCAAGAGGATGAGGGCCAAGATAGCTCGCCAAAATGGCCAGATTCTGGCTCAAGTTCAGACGAAGAATGCACTACTAGTTATTTAACATTATGCAATGAATATGGGCAAGAAAAGATTGAACCAGGATCACTGAGTGAGGAGCCTTTCGTAAAGACGGAAGGAACTGGTGTTGATACCAAAGCTGTTGAAGGCTTCCCCACGCACCTTGTTGCTGACAGCCACAGCCCCAGCACCCAGCTGATGGCACATGAGCTGGAATTGTCCCCTGGAAATGATGACCTGGAAACAGTTAGTTCTCCAAGGACATCAGATGCCCTCAGTAGATCTAAAACCAGCTCCATGGAATTCTTTAGGATAGACAGTAAGGATAGCACTAGTGAACTCCTAGGACTTGATTTTGGAGAAAAAATGTATAGTCTAAAGTCAGAGCCTTTGAAACCATTTTTTACTCTTTCAGATGGAGACAAGAGTTTTAATATCAGCGAAAGCAAAGTTATAGCTCAGGACACCATTAGCAGGGGCTCTGATGACTCTGTCCCAGTTATTTCTTTTAAAGATGCTGCTTTTGATGATATCACTGGTACTGATGAAGGAAGGCCTGATCTTCTTGTAAACCTACCTGGTGAATTGGAGCCAACAAAAGATGGTGCAGCAGTGGGACCTACTAAGTTTACACAGACTAATGCAGGCATAATAGAAAGTAAGCTATTGGAAGCCCCTGATGTTTTATGCCTCAGGCTTAGTGCCGAACAGTGCCAAGCACAGGAAGAAGAAAGCTCGGAAGAACTGAGTGACCCCTCTAAGCTTCCACCTGATGGTGTAACAGAGGAACACTACGTACAGGGGAGTCCTGGGATGTTATTTGCAGCTGCTGTTGATCATAGTAGTTCGGACATTTCCTTGATGCATAGCCCACACCCTGACTTTCAAGGACTCGGAGGGGACCAGTCCGCAGTGACTGCAAACAACACAGAGGAAAGCGTATGCCCTGCTTCTGACCCACTCTCAGGTGCTCATGAAGACGATGCGGACACGGACACTTTAAAAACTGAGGAAGTCTTGCTGTTTACAGATCAAGCTGATGATTTGGCTGAAGAGGAACAGACTTTATTTCAGAGAGACTCTGTGACTAAGGGAGCCAGTGGGCAAGCACTAGAAGGAGACAAGGAGATACATCAGATTTTTGAGGACCTCGATAAAAAATTAGCACTACACTCCAGGTTTTGCATCCCAGAGGGCTGCATTCAGAGATGGGCAGCTGAAATGGTGGTAGCCCTTGATGCTTTACACAGAGAGGGAATTGTGTGCCGCGATTTGAACCCAAACAACATCTTATTGAATGATAGAGGTCAGGAACTTTTGCAAATGCATTTCTTTTTATTCGCTGTTGCTTCCAATTAACTGAGTAGGCGTTTTATCTTGTAATTAGTATCTTCATTTCCTATCTAGAGCTTCATTATCAGTGCAGCAAATTCACCCCCAGTAATAGCTTCTAGTACTTAATGATGCCATTATTCTTAATGATACTGTTTTTAGCTACAAAAGGAGTAATTACAGTTCACTTCTGCAGAAAATGGAAGAGAAAAATGTTTTGATTTCTCCTGTCGTTTTGTTTTTAGGACACATTCAGCTAACGTATTTTAGCAGGTGGAGTGAGGTTGAAGATTCCTGTGACAGCGATGCCATAGAGAGAATGTACTGTGCCCCAGGTTAGAGTCATCTCCTACAATGTTTTGCTTGCAAAAGTAGCCCGCAGCTCTCATTTCTTTATGGAAGTTGTATTTGTCACTAGCAGTTTACATATTTGTTGGATTTGGTTTTCTCCTTAACCTTTCAAAAAAAGAAATTGAAACCATATATAATCCATAGGTGTGTGTGTGTGTGTGTGTGTGTGTGTGTGTGTGTGTATGTGTGTTTATTTGTTGTTAAAGGGGTTTGTATTTTTTGTTAGAAATGTCTTAACTCCTTAGTGTTTAGAAAGAACTTTAGATACCCTGAGTCTCTTTAAATGGATGATTTTTATTAAGATATGAGAGGTAATTGATTAAATAGGTAAAATTCCTAAGGCTAAAAATATGGGTAAAATATAGAATTAAAAATTTTTTAGAGTAGATTTTAAAGAGCTCATTCCATATTTTGAGAAATTTTATAAAGCACGTTCTTGTTTTAGCCTATTTTGTTAAATATTTGACATAACAGATTTCTCTTTTTCTTACTGTATTGTCTTTATTCTTTTAATTAGAGATTTATTTCTAGGAATGTTAGATCCTTTGTTGAAATCTACAGGTCACTTGAGCATATGAATTGTATTTGAGTTAGTTTCTCTTTGTCCTAGTCCAAAGTTTGTTCACCTTTTGCCTATCAGTCAGCCTCTTTGGATAGCCAAAGCTGCTTCTTTGTCACCCCCCCGGGCTTTCAAAGGAAGTTCAAGCTGATTATGTTGACATGATCTGCTTAGTTGTTGATTAATACAGTATTTAAGTACTTACTAGCTAACCAGTGTATTATTGATGCTAACATTGTTTCACTGCATAATGGGAAATGATTATAATTAGGATTGAAGGAGCTATATTGTTTTAGTTACAACCTTCATTGTTACGAATGATTTCTGTAATGGGGAATTTCAAAGTTTTTCAACTTGCAGAGCAAATATCCTAAAACTTATGTTCTGAAAACAATGATTTGAATTTTCTTCTTACCTTACTCTCTTTCTTCTCCAAAATTAGGGCTCTTTGTTTTTATGTCTTCCTAGGGGTCATAGAGCATGCTTACATTTTCTTGTTTCTCTCAAATACATAACATTATGCTGTTTTTTGAAACCTTATTAGTATGATTTAGTTAATGGGATAACAAAAGTGTTTTCATAGAAAAATCACTTTGTTTAGGTTATCTAGTTCTTTTTTTTTCTCTTTTCTTTCTTTTTATTTTTAACAGACTCTCCTCTTTTCTAATTTGGTAAGAAAATACACTTATTAGTTATAATGAATTTGAGATTTTAGAATCAAAATTAAGTCTAGGGATTTTTAAAAAGTGGAATCCTATTAAACCTTGAAGTCAAGTGCAGTATAAACCTTAAATCAAAACCAAAGATTTATGGAGCACTATTTAATGTTTATACCTGACTTATTATTTCCTGTTAGTGTTGTTACTTTCTTACTGGAAACTCTGTAGGGTTGTACTTTGGCATTCTAGCAGATTAATTGTCTTCAGTTTTAAGTACAGTCATGTTTACTGTTATATTATATAGCATGTGGACCTCCTGGGAGTTTAAATATGTGTGGAACAGAATCATACCACACTCCATTAATAGATACAACTTTCAATTTTGTGTCCTGAAATACTGAATTTAATAGATCAGTATCCAAGTTCTATTTTTTAAGCTTTCCCTCCCTCAGAAATCACAATTCTTACAGTTGACCAGCAGGTGGCAGTCTACCATTAATGGATTTTTGCTCTCATCTTCCAGGTTGTCTGTCCTTCACTAACATTCAAAAAAAGCTATAGTCTGAAGAAGGGTTTTGTTTTAATTATTTGCATAAAAGAATTGTACTTTTAATCTTTGTGAGTTGCAAAAGTATCCTAGTATTATGGCTTGCATTGAACAATGTGGAAAGTCTCTTAATTCCTTGGGCTTTTTAGTTTGTTTTATCAATAGGATAAAATAAAACCAATACCCCTGTAATGGTCTTAGCTGAAAAGCAATGCTAGTGTTCTAAGTTAGGTGATCTTAAATCCAGAGAGTTACAGGATTTAATTAAGTCTGTGTATTCCTTCCCCTTGCTTACAATGCAAAGGTAATTAGAGCAAAAATTTATAAATTACTGCGTCTCAAAATTGAAGGGCAGTCCTACTGATAAAAACTACAAGTAGGCTTTCCTCCTTCTCTCAAAGAGGTGGGAGTAATGATAATATACTAGTATTTTGACACTCAAAAATCACAAATCAATGAATACAGGGTGACATAGAGAACTTAGTCCTCTTTTGATCTATCTACCCTTAGAAACATTAAGGGTTTAACTAATTCTTCTCCACCTCCCTGCCCGTCCTTTCCCCATCGCTGACCTTTATATTATTGTCCAAGTAACTCTAAAGCATATTAAGCCGATGATGTTTGCTTAGAAAGTGAAGTTGCCGCAAGATTACGGTGAAAACGATTCACTTCTGTTTAAACAGTGTGCAATCTCTACCCCTTCCACTCCTCCCTCCTGGGAATCCTTATCACATATTTGTCCTAAAAACATTACCCACCTGCCCTGTACTTTATAGTATCAGCAATGTATCTTTTTATCTTGTGGATGATGTGCCTTTATATTTTGAGAAAAAATTTCCAGTAACAGATTCGGTTTACATGGACAGAAACTTGAGCAAATGCCAAACTAGCAGGGGGGCCATTATTCTGCTCTATAAATAAGTTTAAAAAAAGAAAGAAACACACACACAGAAACCTGTGAATCAACATGTTTTGGTCTAATTGAGGGGAAAAGCAAGATAGATAAATTTTGAAATGCAAATGATCACCTTCTGTTATTTAAGTATAGTTTTCTGCCAACTTTGTGATCTTAGATTTTAAAAAGTCAGTGATTTCAACAATGCATATATACTGCCAAGGATGTCTGATGTTGACAAGCTTCTGTAACAAAATGAAGAATGTTTTTTAAAAAGTTGCGACTTTTTATTTTAAAGAAAACAAATCTAACAACAAAAAGACAAAAACCACGAAGCATTCTCTGTCTACATCTGTGAAAAAGCCAGCAAATAAATGGCTGCAGCTGCAGGCCCATCAAGAGGGTCTTGAGAATACGAATTCGCTGATCAAACCCAGCCCTGTTTTCAAAGTAGAAGCCCTTCCTTTTAGGTTCACTTTGTATCTTTAGATTATCTAGGATGACTCTCTAGAAAGGTTTTACTTTAAATAAACATCATTCATGGTAAATGGGTTCCTTTCATACCAGAGAAACAGAAAGGCGTTCAGGAAGAGCAAAGAGCAAAGAAATTGTCCCCAAAGTAGGAATGGATTGTATAGCATGACAATACAAATATAGCACCGTCCAGTTTCCATATTCGGAGACTTTTAGTTGCTGTATTAAGAGACTTTTAGACAGGCTCCCCTATTTTCCACTGTGAGAGATTATAGAATAAAAATGGGAGTAAATTGATTCTTCTTCTTCAGAGGACTTCCTTGTAGTTTCTCTGATTTTATTTCTATTTGCACATACACAGGCACGCAAAGGATTTTGTGTGTTTTATCATTACAACTATCATAATATAGAATAATTTTTTGTTATAAAATTTCAAGTATGAAGAAAAACTAAAATGTCAAGAAAGTATTTTTCTTAGTCTTTTTTTTTTTTTTTTTTTTAGCAGTCTTGCTTGAGGACTTTTTAGACTTGAGGATTTATAGGTGAATATAAGTGTAAATTGACAAAGTCAAAAATGCTCTTTACTGCATCCCAATCTCTATGCTCCCAGATGTCAAATGACAGCTTTGCTTCCTCTCATAGGCGATTTCACACTTGGAAACAGCTCACAGCTGACAGGGAAAAGTGAAACATAGAAAAATCATGCTGAACACCATCTCTGAAATTCAGTTTTAGAGCATGACATTTATTTACTACCATCCTTTGCTCTTCTAGCCTGACTTTATCAAATAGTCCATGAATATATTTTTTGAGAGTAGCCTCCCATTCCCTTCTCCATAAACATGTTTCACACACAATTTGTTGCTTTTTAAGCATGGTGCTCTATGTGATAGTTACGTATTTGATAATTAGATCTAGGACTCAGACCATGTGTGGTTGAAAATATCATGAGGCTATCATAAGATTAAAATTTTGAGATGGAATTGAGAATTGCTAAACTTTGATATTTGTCCCATATCAGCCATTAACTCATTGCATGACCTTATTGTGCAAGTTACTTAAGACTTTCCAGGACTTATTTTACTGGTAGTAAAATAGATTAGTTGAGTATAAGAAAGATTACAGATGTCAAATCATCTAATTTCCTTCTTATACAAAATATAGTAAAAATTCAAGTCCATCTTATTAAGGCAAGAGTTTTACTTCCAAGGGCAAATATTGATTTCTTGTCTAATATTGGTAAAGTTAAAATAATTATTTCACTTGGGCAACTTTCTAAGAATGTATTTTTACTCATAGAGTTGTACATAAAGAATGTATTGTGGAGCCTGGCTGGCTGAAGTGGCTCAGGTGGCCGAATGTTGTCCACGCAATGAAAAGTTGCTGGTTTGATTCCCAGGGTTGTGGGTTTGATCCCCCATCAGGGCACTTACGGAAAGCAACTGATCTCCCTTCCTTCCCTCCATCCCTTCTTCTCTGTAAGCATATCCTCAGATGAGGGGCGAGGGGAGGGAAATAAAATACATTGTAGAAATGAAACAGTAGCTTTCTTGTTCATAGTAAATGTTTTAGTGTTTCCCTTGAATGATTACCAAGTACTTTTAATGTTTTGTCCTCAGTTGCTATTGTCATAAAAAATGAAATCTGTACCTTTGAAAGAGAATCATTAACTTTTCAAGTTTGTGATAGAGTAGTGAAAATTTTACACTAAGCATTCCCTGATGCAGTTCTTGTATATTGGAGAAGCTTGTGCCCTGAATATAGAGCCTTATTAGAATAAACAAGAAGAGCTTCAAGGCAACTCAAGTCTTAATTGTTCAGGCAAAGCCATTCTAAAGTAAAGAAGATTA